GGGGGGGGGGGGGGGGGGCTGGTCATCATACGTGTTCATGGGGGCTAGAGCAGAGTGAGAGAAAGAGAAAGGTTCATTTCGGGATGCCGGACGGGAGGGCAGGACGAGGGGGGTGGCCCTCGGTTCTCCTCGTTGTTATCTGTTTTAGCTGAATCGCGGTGGAACGAGAATAACACCTGCCTTACTCCCACTCCGTTCCCGACCCCACGCACGAGCGTTCCTTCCCTGAGCTATCAATATCGAACATTAGGTCTGCAGCGGGGGCGTCCATGCCACGGGCGTCAAATTGTTTCGCGGAAAACCCCACGCCAACCCCTACGGTGGGCGCTTGCTGCTTGGCATCTACATATTTAGTACGATGTACGTCCTGGCAGACAGATTCACCTTCCGTAGATGATCTTGAGGATGCCGTCTAGCATTCCTACGGCGTGCGCCGCGCATCCCCATTGGCCATCTACCTTGTCATGGTCGACGTATCCGTAGGCGAAGACCTGTGCGGGGTCGTGCGGCACGGTCGTCTGCATCAGGTGACGTTCGACCGTAATAAACGTGCTCGTACTGGGTGCGAGCATCACGACCAAAGCGTGATGATGGGAACCTTGTACACACCATACCTCAGCAATATCATCGATAGAGAGAACGTTCACAGTCGAAACTTCCAGAGCACATCTACTCACAGGGGGTGCCGCAGGCCATGCTACGGGCGGTAGCTTTTTTGGTCCGCAACAAAACCTACACTTCAACTACTTTTCGGCCCACTCTTCATCAGCCTAAACGTAGGGCGCAATCAACATCCAATCCCCACATGCTGCAAGGCGCTGGAAACGTGCGGCATTCCAGCGCGCACCCCGACCATTTCAACAAAGGTCTCTGCGTTTGTTATCTATTGTTGGTGAACTCACCTTTTTCTTGAGCTCCGGGTTGTCCACGAAGCGCTCGGGGTTGAACTCCCGGGCGTCAGGGCCAAACACGGACGGGTCCATCTGCCCAAGGGCCTGTTCCATCATGAGCAATTCGCCCTTCTTGACCTGAGTGAAGCAACAAACACGAAAAGAGGTCGAAGTTACGCACACGCACACGAGCCGATATTGCTATTGCTTGCAAGGTAACCCATCCGCTTTTCCGGAAGTTTGTACGTCGACACCATTGTCCAGTCTGTAACGGTAGGTTTCTCGCTTCTATTTCTCGACTTGGTTGAGGCGGGTTCTGCTATCAGACTCCGCAAACAATTGTCTTTCAAAATGGCCAGATCAGACGGACACTCACTGTGTCACCGTTCTCTGGGTCAGGGACAGAGAGCAACACCCGAACATTTCACTCAAGCAAACGTACATGCACAAAATATACACTGTCAGGACCCCGAGTACAAGATATTTTTCGCGGCTTCTGTGGAGGTATTGCGACTGACGTGCTGTCTACGGTTAGCCTCGATAACCTCTGCCAACTCATGCTTTTCAAGCGCACGCACCTGGTACTTCTTGCCGGAGCTGGTGGGCACGACGAGATCCATCTTCGCTTCCTGCGAGTCAGGGGCAACCACCGTGAGTGCGGACGGAGGAGGAGCGAATTCACGACAAAGAGCTGACAACGTCCCTGAAGAAAGCTATGCTGCAACGTGTTGCTGTACCGATAGGTCATGTGCTGGTTAGGAATTTCTTCCCCTTTACCCTATCGGCCCGAGCTCCCCGTTTTCTTTTGTCCCTTCTCTGCTTTGAAAAATTGGCACTTCACGGTGGAGATGAATAACATGACTATGTATCAGCACCAAATACGCCTTGATGCCCAGTGTATCGAAAGGGCACACCTGCGATGCAGTGTTATACCTTTCTCACCTTCACAGTAAACGCAGGGGCCGGGAACATCCGGTTGATCTCCCAGTGGAAGCTGTCAAGCAGCGGGAAGTTTTCAGCGCCCCTGATGGACTGGAACGTCAAATCCTGAGGTTGATTGTTACAGAGCAGAGAAAGAGTTGTTTGTGATAGGTGTTTGCTGCAGTGGTCCTGCAACAAGCTGCCGTCGGTGGTAAAATCTACTAGGCAGACGGCGACATACGGCCCCGCAGCCTTAACACTGGAGACATTCGGCACAACAGTTACCAATTCTTGAGAGATGTGACAGCAAATCGTACGCTACAGCAGACCCGTGACAATCGAGATCAGTTGTTCTTGTTATCCTGCAATTAACCCCACAACCTACCTTGCCGTCGACCTCCTTCCTCAGCTTCTCTAGGAACTCCGGGTTGTTCGTCAGGGTGGCAACAACGGGCATCATGCCTTTGGCTATCGCCCCCGCCGACTGAAAGTTGGTGGTGAACATGAACGATCGCTCCAGATCCTTGGTGTTCACCTGACTCGTCGTCGTACAGGTGGGTAACAACAGTCCACGGGGGTGCTGTGAGGTCGTCGTTTCTGGCATTTGTAGTGTGACTGTTGGCGGAAGTATTGGGGTTGATGGGCTCAGGCGTTTGCAGGGATCGGGGTGTTTCGGGGGCAATCTTCGGGCTGTTCGACTGTCGGCGGGGATCGGTTGAGCAAACAAACAGAAGACAGCAGGACAAGCACCTTCCACAACCACGCATAAACAGCCTAATGCTGCGTGAAGCACGTACGTTGGAGCCCTCGAACATCTCCAAGAAGCCGGCCCAGACGTCGGACGAGCGGATGGCCTCGGCGATGGACTCCACGGCGGCAAGGCGCTCGGCGGAGGGCCTCTTCGACCTTTGGGCGAGCTTCGCCGCAAGATTCGCAACAGGGGTGTCCATCTCGAGCTCAAGCAGTCTGGAGCGAGCGGAGGTTTCGTTGACGACAATGACGTTGTCAAGTTCGATGGACGACGAATGAATGACCTTTGTTTCGTTCCGTAGGTGAAAAACCGAGCAGAATGGGTTGTGACCACCCAAAGAAAAAATATATCACTGTAGTCTGGTCCACCGTAGGTGCATGTTCCGTGGTTTGTTCACCAATAGGGGCTTCAGCACAGACCAGAGTGTGTAGGACTGAAAGGGCCTCTTAGGCAACCCCTTCGCCTGCCGGTCGCTCAAAAGCACAGTAATGTAATCAGCACTATCGTGGTCCGCGGCCTCACTTACACGGAAACGTCGAGCGGGTTAGCGTTCATGAAGTCCTTGAAGGGCGGGAGGGGCTGACCACCCTCCACCCCCAGGCCGTAGATCCACTCGTGCAAAAAGTGTATCGTCTGCTGCAGAAAGAAGTCATAAACTACGGTGTAGTCGCCCAGGCCTTTTTCCAGCCCGAGGAGGAAGGAAGAGAGAGTGACCAGGGGGGCGTGGGAAAAGAGTGATGGGGTGGGGACACAATCAACAGCAAAATGTGCATAGCTCAGAGACTTTTTTTCGCACTCCACAAAGCCTGTGGCAGCCTCTAATACACTAGAAGCAGCTAAGCGGTGAGGTGGTGATGTCGTCGTCAATGTGGATGACTTATTTGTGGCAGCAGGACTGCTCAACCTCCCCCCCCCTCTCCCCCTTGAGACTCCCGATCTCGATCTCGAACGAGCTGGGGGCGCTTGCGCGTGTTTTGCTCCTGATGGGATCCTCCCATCACTTACCGTTGTCCCGGAGATTCTTGTAGAAGGTGTCGGTAGCATTGGTCATGGCCGACTGCGCGAAGGGGACCCTCGATCGGAAAGCTCTGAGTGCTTGTTGGCGGAAGGTTTGGTGCGACTCCTTCTGGTTGGTGATGAGGGTGGGCAGCGACTCGCCGATGTACTCCTTCTTGCACTTGATCGGGCCGAAGTACGCCCCATCCTGCGCCCGCGACGCGCGTGGGCGTGCAGAATAAACGCGCACGGACGCGAACCGCGAAGGAGTGGTACCGTAGGACGATAAGCCACTTGGATCAATAGAAAAATCGTGTAAGGTCAACACGAGCAAGTGAATGATTCTTCAACGAAGGTATATACAACAGGGAGACCGCTGACGTTGAAAGTACGGTCGGTGTGCATTTTTATTACAAACCTGCATCCAAACCTTCACAGACTTTGGCGATGAGGTATTTACAACAGCGGATCCATGATCCCCTGGCCGGATTAGAGTTCAGACTAGTCTGTGCGGGAATGGGTTGCTTCTCTCCGAACTAAAAAGCCCGGAGAGAAGCAACCCATTCCGGAGAGAAGCAATACATTCCCTCTGACTATGTCCTGAACTCAATTGAGTCAGCCTATAGCATGGTGAGGAGCACACTGGACTTTGGACCAGTCCGCGCTGACTGCTACAGTCCAGTGGTCAACGTGCTGCTCATCACACACAATAAACAGAACGGAGGAATCTACATGAAATGCTTCTCCTGTGTGGTGGGCCAGGCCCCGAAAAGCACAACGCGGTGTCGGCATTTTTTCCGAAAAAGCGGGGAAGCGGAGAAATAATCGAAATTGCTCAAATCTGGCCATGCCAGCGTTTGATCCGTCTCATGTTGTATGCTGAGAGGAAAGCTGGCACGCTCGGTATCCATGCCGCGGTGAGCCGAAGCCACAGGCACACCCATACCCGATATACCCACACCAACTCAACACTTGTGTTTGAAAAAAAACGACGATCGGAACAAGCGGAAGCAAGAAACACGTGTGGATACAGAATCTCCACGTCTAGGCTGTTCGCGTACATGTACACATGCATACCTGCCGGTCCAAGACATCTTGGCCCTGCCTGAGAAACCATTCACAGCTGGCGTGATCTGTCAAGAACGTGACAGCAAGACCCGGATGCCCCTTAAACACCGATGCGCCGCCGTTGGCCTCGATCAGGCCGTTGAAGTACTGCCCTTCCCTCGCCGCCCATGCCCGCGCTTCGGTGAGTGGAGAAAAGCTGTAAAACGGGTGGTGAACGCCGGTGGGCTCGAGAAGACCAGGTTCGGCAGCTGTCTCGGCCGTCTTGACTCTGTGGTGGGGAGATATGGTGAGAATCGGTGGCGCTGCCGCCGGAGCTTGCAGCGACGAGCAGGTGGGGGATGCAGCGCCTACACGCTGCATGGGGGAGGTGGAGACGTTGCGCGTAGTAAGGGTCGATGCGGCGAGGAGCAGACCACCACTAAGGACAACAAAAACGAGAGGCCGTTGCACCGGCCGTGAGCGGTTGTTGTTGTTATTAGGCATCTTTCGCTGCGCCTTTCGGTCTTATCGGAGGGGGAGAGAGCAGGAATGGAAGTGGTGGAAGGGTGTGCGAAGAGGGAATGGGGTCGATGTGTGACATGTGGGGTGTGCGGTTGTCGGGAATGAGAGGTTGTCAGCGTGGGCGGTGTGGTAACGCGAGCTCTCGGGCGATTTTATTGTCTACCTCACTACAGTTTCAGAGAATTTTCCAAGAGCTCACAAACGTACCATCAACCATGAACCACCGCAGCACATTTTCTTTCCCCGTCGTCCTCTTCTCCTCTCACTCGGCCGCCGTCTTGCTAGGATGCCCTCTTCTCCCCTCGCCCGGTCGCGGTTTTGCCAGGACTTCCTACCGTGGCTCTCTTTGGTGCGGCGGATGCCACTCTGCAGGAGGACAAGCACCAACAACCAACAAGTCGAAATGCATCGCACCGGCCGCCATCGGAGAAACTACTCAAAAACTGACAGTCCAGTGTTGAAAATCCCGCCGACAGGTCTCCCGAACGCACCTCTGGGGGCGTACACCACAGAAGCAGCAAGCGTCAATGTGATCAAAAATCGGCGTTCCTTCTTCACCAGCCGCCGTCCTACTGGTGGGTTCTTGCCACAGGGAAGCGGCTCTCAACGAAATCCGTGCTTGTATTGAAATCCCTCCACCAGTAGCCACAAAGTGGTGTTTCCTTCGATTTTGATCAGAAAAGGAGCAATCCTGTGCAAAAACACGTGAAGACTAGTGTTCTGATTTGTCTTCAACCACTAAAAAGACGGGACATGGGTGGGGGTGTGCAAAACGTTTCGCGTGGCTTCCTGTGACCGGGATGTCTGCAAATGGAGTGCGGGTTGCCTGCGGCGTGAAGCTTCGAGCGTGGCAGCGTGAAGCCTCGCCAGCGGCGTGGCTACTCCTATTGAGACACGACGGTCCTTTGCCCATCTTTAGATGCACACGCCCGTGCACCAGCTACTAGTGAGGGTGGGCAAACAATTTTCTGTACAAGGGGAAAAAGCGCCGTCCGTACGTCACGACCGTAAGTTACTCTGTAGCAGTGTTCAGGTTTGTGAGGTCACCCGCTCGACGACTGGGGCGGCCGACGGGCTCGTGGCCACGCGAAAAACTAAAAATAAGAGCCGGGAGCTGACATAAATAAATGTTGTGCGCAGTTTGCACTCCCAAATCCCACATGCTACACACACACATTTTGGGTCGGGTCACAAACATGACGTTCACAGTTCACAACGGTGTTATGTTCGTTTCCTTTCGTCCGCCGCACCCCCGCTCCAAACATTCAAAAACTTCCAAGGGAAAACCGCGCCTGAAACGATAACAACGGTGTTATTTTCGTTTCCTTTCGTCCGCCGCACCCCCGCTCCAAACATTCAAAAACTTGCAAGGGAAAACCGCGCCTGAAACGATCCCTCTGATTGCCTTGTATGCCCTGGGTTCGCAGGTCATTACGGTACTATTTTCGTTTCCTTTCGATCCTTAAGGTTCAATAACACTGAAACCCAGTTAGCAACCTTACCAAGAACCAAAGCTCTAGCTCCTTGTTCATCAGAGGCACCAGGCGTACGAAGCATACCATCTTTGGCGAAAATCTCCCTGCAGGCGGAGATGCAGCTTGCCGAAGGTACAACTACCGCGAAGGCCGTGAAGTTTGAACCACCTCCCCCTCTCTCTGCAGCTACAGCCCTCCATAGCTCAGTCTTCCAGTAGCAACAAAGCCACAACAGCACACGCAATGCCTCTCGCTCACGAGTTAACAAACAAGCGAGAGTCTGCGTTGATCGACAAACGCGGGTTCTGTGCATCTCAGTTCCGGCTTGAGTGGTTGTGGCGATGTCGGTGCGACCAGCGGCGATGGCACCAGTCCCTTCTTCGACGGCGGCGGCAGGTTCAGCAGCTACCGTGGCGATAGCGGGAACTCGTCTTTGCTGAGCAGCGCCCGAGGGCGAATTGGGAATCGACGCGTACCGCATGGGGACCCACCTCACAGCAAGTACTGTTCATACGGCGCAGTCGTTTTGCCTCGAAAAACGGCCCTCATCCCTCGGCTTGAGTTTCCACCAAAACGTGGCGTGGCCGTGGCGCCATCTAACTCAATACAAGCCTTCATCACACTTGCTGTTGAACCGACCAGTATTAGCCGCCCTCGAAGGAATACCGTATTTGCATTGCCGGGGACCCTTCTTCACAAAAACAAATGCGAAATAATTTCACTCACAATAAGGAGGGCAACAACACTTTAAGGGAAGAAAAATTCTGGGAGAGAACAAAACAAGTCCATGCGGCAAAACTTCGGAACCTTCTTTTCCGACTGTGGCCGAATAGATGGTACACGATTCACTCCAGCCCCTCCACCTCGTAACGCAACTCCTCCAGCAACTCCGATACCGCCGCTGCCTCCCCCTCGGCACGCCGCAACAAGTCGCCCACGGCGTCGCTCAGCAAGCGGTCCTGGGAAGGGGACGCTACGCCCGCGTCCCCTTGTCCTCCGGAGTGCACCGACATGCCCGGCCCCATCCCTAGCGCACGCGCTTCTCGCATGGACTCCAGGTGGTGTGCCGCAGTCTGGAAGGCATCGACATAATCGGGAAACGCTTTAAGGGGAGTGAAACGGCTGCGGGTATGGAGTATGCCAGAAGGAGCGCAAATGTTTCACACGCCCTGAACAACAACCCATAACGAATTCAATATTACGTTGAGTTAGGTTTCAACCATACATGTACCCGTTAGTTGATTTGTGAACAACTGGTTGCCCAAGATGCTGAGCCAGTGCTTGACTGGAACCAACTGTTGATCGAGATTGTGAGCCAGCAGTCGGTTGGCAAAACAAATACGAGGAAAGCAGTTGTACAGGGTGTGAACCGTTTCGCCCGCGGAGCGGCTCAAGCACATTTTGGGAAAAGAGGGAGGCCTGCCTGGTGTGTTAATTTTTTGCCGAGGGTCGAAGAAGAACCTTCTCTCTTGGGAGACGCTTACGTTCTGAAAGCGCACTTCGGACTAGAACCGACCGGGAGGGCAAGGGGGAGGAAATCATGTTTTGCATGCCGTAGTTGTTGGGGCATTGACCACGATGGGGCGGCGGGGGGGAGGATCGGAACCGGACCGAGCCAAAAGTCCCTCGGAAACCCAAACCGCCACATGGCACAACGGGCAAGGGGGACGTATTCCCTACATGGATGTTGTGTCTGCGGTGAAAAACATATATGTCTACACCGTAGAGGCCGTCGCGCACCCCCCCACAACTTTGAGGTAGTGTTTACCCACGGCCCTGCCAAAGCAAGCGAAACGTTCCATCCATTCGAAATCCTATCCGTACGCCCACCACGGAAATACTCGGAGCATTCGCTACAATAGACCGTGTCCATGCGATCTGGCTTGTCCTTGTACATTCCAGATGCGACAACACATAGAAAACCTCCTCCGAAAACACACATTTGTGAACCAGGCACTGTCACTACTGCTGTCGTGCCCTGACGTGATATTGTGTGGAGTATGTTATGGGCGTCTGAGGTTTGGCCTCTCACCACCGTCAGTTTCTCGCGCTCGTGCTCCTGCACCAGGCGGATGATGCCTGCCAACGCTTTCGTCTCGCTGTCTTTCCCCAGCATGGCCTGTAGCAGCGACGCCAGCACAAACACAAAAACAAGTCAACCAACCAGACGCGAAAAACGCGAAAATATCCACAGAGGTCGATGTTCGATGCCCAGAAAATTCACCGGTACTACACGACCGGCAACATTCAAAGCAATGACAATGCCTTGAAAGTTAGCAATGCCGTGGAAATTCGGTGTGTGTGCTCGCCGAGCACACTGGCACTATGCCGGGCATTGGCAGTATTCAACCGGCACTAAACAGGGATCCCCTCTGTATACGACTGAGAACGGTGCAGCGGGGAGGGCAAGGAACTTTGTCGTTCCGCAGAAAGCCTTCTCTTGAAACGCGTAGCGAGTAGCAACGCCTCCTTGTGATCAGGTTTCAGTAACTCTTGCATTCAGATATTTGTTCGGAATGGTCATGGCGAGCCAAGTATATTCAGTTCGTTTTTCGCAGGCTCATGGCCTGCTTAGATGCCCAGTCCCCCCCCTACCCCTTGCGGTATTGATGCTGCGATAGGCGTGCCAGTCACCTCGATAGCGTTGATGGCCTTGCTCAGGACGGAGAACCCTGCCGTCACCTCGCAACCTGAGAAAAAAAATAATGGTGTGTGGGATGTAGAGATATAGGGGGGGAGGGCGTCTTAGCTGGCAATGAACATCCGAACAAACACATTCTTACCGCAGGCACTGGCCAGAGAGAGGAATCACAATGTCTCCACCACTCCGTGCAAGATATATTGCAAAAAGAAACAGAAAGGACACAGCCGGTTGAAAATTCCCCATAAACTGTAGAGCGGGAGGTAACGAAAGTGAGTGAGGCACATCAGCGATGATCCAGGCAGAGGTGTGCGCTGACGCGGGGGCGACGTCATTGGAGAAAGCCACAGCAGGACGGGAGCGACCACGAAACTCCCCATCCTTGCTATCATCAGTAGGAAATTGCCCGCGGGGCACGCTCTCCAATTCGAGATGTTGTTTTTCCTAGTGATTTGCAGCCTGTTCGGTTCAGGGTTCCAGAGAACGCCAGGACAAGTGTACCGTAAGAGTCGGAGAGATGGCACCGGGTGCGATCGCTTTTCATAGTTTTTTTTCTTCGTGGTTTTTGCCGCACCACGGTGCGATATCTCCGACCGGTGCGATGCCCAACGAAATACACACAGCGGTCTCTACTATTATATTGCTACGGTCACCATGTGTAATATGTTCACACATGTACATCTTTACTGCAGCTCAAGAAGAGATAATCTTGGATTGAGGGTCGGTGAGGTCGGTGAAATCGCACCGGGTGCCGTCGCACCGACCCCGGTGCGGAAATACAATTCAATCCGCCATTCTTGTTTTCTTTTCGCAACCCGGTGCCATCTTTCCGACCGGTGCCATCCCGCCGACCCGTGCCATCCCTCCGACTCTTACGGTACCCTCGTAGTGCACAACGCACCTCTGCACGGCTTTTTTGTGATCCTGGAAGGCAAAGAGTGGAGGCTCCGCCGAGCACAAACAAAAAGAGACCAGCGAATGGCTATGTACAGCGGTACGAAGACTCTTCTGCCCGTCCTGGGGGCAAGAATCATGTATGCAACCGATGCGCTCGGACAGTAGCTCCCAAATTCCAGGCATCAACTTTGGACACGAGCAACCCGCACCCGTCGATGCAGAACTCTACAGGACATTAAATAAGCCAAATTCTCGGTCTCACACAATGCCGGGTACCCGGAGTAGTCCCCAATTTGCAATGCCTCCTTCAGACCCCTGCGTCGAGAAGACGACCGTTGCGGCAACAGACGTTGTTAGTGCTGCCGTTGTTGTTGATATAATTGATAATTATGAAGTTGTTAGTTTGTCGTCTGCATACCTAGTGCCCCCCCCCCCCCCCCCCCCCCCCCCCCCCCCCCCCCCCCCCCCCCC